AATAATCTCGAAAATTAAGACAAAAATAAGAAAATAATTTATATATAGGGGGAGGTGTGTTGGGAAGAAGCCGAATAAACAATAAATGCATCGTTGATATGGCAACATCACATCAACGGACTATTCTCCTGCCCAACAAGTCTGTACAACAATATCAATTCGCGTTACATAGCATTACTCTTCTTAGCAAAGTACCCTTACTTTTTCTCTCTCTTAGAGGTGAGGTGAAAAGAAAAAAGAAAAAAATAAATAAATTAACAATTGACTGTCAATTTTGGAATTAGGTCTATGTGTAACACACTAACTAGAGTATGTTCTAAACTCAGACGCCAAATTTGGTCCGATTATATTCAAATATGGGTGTCCCCCCGGTACTTTAATTCTAACATGTTAAACTAATTAACGATGTTAAGCTTCTGTTTGGTTTAGTTAAAATTTAAATTTTTAGCAAATTTTGATAAAAGTTGACGAAATATATGATTAAAAAAATTAATAAAAATTATGGATCTCGTGAAAAATTATAGGTCTCATGAAAGTGTGATTGAAAATAAATTTGAGGAAAAATGAATTTTAGAAAGTGGGGCCAAAGATGAGCCAATTTCTTACATCCAATTCATATTTTAAAATATATTAGCTTGAATAAATATCATTATAAATAAAATAATCTTTTGTGGTAAAATAATGAGATGATTATTTAGTATTATCATGATACATAGATAAGTCTTATCTAGTATATAAAATATATTACATTCCAATTGTAACTCTTACTTTAAATTGTATAAATATATGACATTGATTTTTAATACTACGTAAAAGGTTATTGATTTCTCTCATTTGTTCTCTCTTTCTTTCTCTAATTGAGAACATTTTATTAGCATGAATATCTAAAAATTGAAATCAATTAGTTAGAAGTTAGTCTATACATAATCTCTTACTATTCACAAATGCAATATTCTAGACACTTTTTCTAGCCTTTAATTCTATAATATGTCGCTGTACATAATTTGGCCTTTCTTATTAGACTATCAAATTTCCCTATTACCATGTACACATATTCTTATGCCATCATCAGCTTTTATCCATATGTTGAGTTTTATTTTTGCATCAATTATGCCGTTCTTATCTCCAACCACAAATGTCACTGTATGTTCTTTTCTCTTTCATGCCATATTGTAGAGATGAGCATGTCTGTTTTTATATGAATTATGAATATAATATTATAATTTATACTTACTGTTGAACACAATTGGATTTATTTGATATGGTAAAATAGATCTGTTAATTTTTACACTTAACTTGAAAAATGGTAATTTCATAAATAATTTGAAAAAATATATTTTGTTGTTGCGCTTGAAGTAGCACAGTAATGTAATTAATATTCCGAAAAAAATATTATTTGCTCATGAAGAGCATGAATTATAATTTTTAATATTCCGAAAAAAAATTGATATGTTGCTCTTGAAGAAGCACATCTTCTCAAATATTAATATTCAACTAGAAAACATAATTTTGAAGAGTTAATGTTTTATTGTCGGTGCTCCTAAAATAGTACAACATTGTTAATATTGTAAAAGAATATTATTGCATGTCTATCCCTTAAGGAAAACATTTAATTAATGTCATCCGGGCATTGATTAGTTTCATTAGTTGAATGATATATGATTATGTAAGATTTAATCATATTTTTTGAAATCAAATAATTGAATTATACTTATGTTAAATTGGAAGGTCAATTTTTATTTTATTGTTTGGCACTACCAATTAGATAATCATCGGATCAACGTGATGTGGAATTGAGAATCCAATGGACAGTCAACAAAGAACATGAAGATTCTTCGACCTAATGAATTCATATATGTTATTTGTTCTCTTTATCGAAATTTATCATTAATCATCACTAGCTAAAATAGGGATCGAATTTTTTATGTTTTTGAAAATTAATTAGGATGATAAATGTGACATCATCATCCTCCATGTTGACCATCTACATATTATATGTATCTAATATATTTGATATAAATACTAGATGATTGCATGGTGTTAGCAGCTTGAAATTTGCGAAACTACTGCTCAAATAATAAGCATAATTTTTCGATTATAAAATCTAGACGGTGTGTCTTGTTAATGCTAGTAAATTTAAAATCTCAAGTTTTTAATCATTGTTAGTTCATATATCAATAAATGATTTAATATTATTGTTTGTTAACGACTCCAATTAATTGAGAACGAAGTTATTCCCATTTTTTATTTAGGTAATGTTATTATGCAGCATTCCAATATTGTAGTTTTCCCAGTTATAATTAGCTCATGATCAATGCCTTATTTTTTTCATCATACTATTTGATAGTGCAGTATATGTAAAATTGCTACACTATAATGTATTGGGATGGAAAGTAAATAATGCTGAGAATAAATGAGTAGTTTGGATACATATATAATATCTCAAACCTTAATGAGTGTTATTTCATAAATCGGTTTACTGCTTATCAATTTAATTGCACAATTCTTTTAGTGTTAGGGGAAGAAATTAAAAAGTCGGAAATAATACTCAAATACATCATTATTTAAATCATCGCAAAAGACAATTCGAAACACAAGTTCGAGAGATAATTTATTTTGATATATTTACTCGCCAAATAAATCAACAATATCATACACTAGCTTTAAATGATCCATTTTGAATTGATTCATGGAATAACAACTAGTTAATATTATTTGATAAATTCATGACACTCTTGAAGTGTGATATATTCGATTCCAATGTGAAAATCTCAAAATAAAAATTGACTAATTAGTAAAGATTGTCTCATTAAAGAGGCATACTTTTGGTGTGATGAATGTCCGTAACATACAAGATATTTACCTTCAAAATAATATTTTGATATATATGAGACTCTTGAAGAAATTAATAAGAAATATTTTTCGAATCATCATGTTATTACAGTCATCAAAGATTGATAAAATATATCTTATGAAGATGGTGTTACTTGATGATTGTACAGGACAACATGATACATATTTCACCAAAAATTGTAATATTGAAGACCAAACGTACAAGACATGGATCAACTGACACAAGAATTTTCATTTATTGAAATCAGGGGGAGTAGTTGTACTATTTTTTCCTTCAATCAGAATTTGTCTCACTGAATTTTTTCGATAAGGTTTTTAGGAAATAGCATTTTATTACTCCAAATTATTCTCTTTTTTATTATTTGTATTTTTGTCCAATCAATTTTTTTGTCAAACAATGTTTCAAATGGTACAGTTATTGTGCAAATAATCATCAAAGGGGAGTGTTGTAAAATAATGAGATAGTTATTAATGATTATTTAGTATTATCATGATAAATAGATAAGTTTTATCTATTCTAGAATATTTATTTTATTCCAATTATAAATCTTATTTTGGACAGTATAAATATAAGGCATTGTTTCTAAATAATACATACAAATTTATTAATTTATCTCTTTTGTTCTCTCTAATTTAGAACATCATTGAATTTCATAATAAAAGTAATATTCTAACTGAACTCAAGTATTTGATGAAAAGAATTGGACATTTTAAGAGCTTGATGAGGATTTGTACGATAATGCGAAAATGCTTTCCTTATGTACGAAAATTGGATTAACTGTATAGAGTACAATAATGCAAAAATGCTTTCCTTGAGACATTACATGGTGTTTGATGGATATTAAAATTAGATTTTTAGTAGATCTTTATAAAAAAAAAAAATTTGAAATACATGTTTGAAAAGTTGTGGAACCCATGAAAATGTGATTAATATTAATTATTTGATTTTGACTGAAATTAAAATTTATTAAAATCTGAGTCAATCAAGAGCTGTGTCTTCGTCAATACCGTGACGCACTCAAGTACGAAAATACGTTTTTAGATTCAATAAAACATTGAGGCCCCGTTTGATATTCATTTTTTTAAAAATAAGAATGAAAAATATAGTAGTTACGGGATCTGTACAAGATATATAAAGTCAAATATAGTGGCTTGATGTGATGAATAACGATCATATTTTTCATTTTTGTGGTCAAAAAATGAAAATCAAACGGAAGCTTAATCTCGTCCATGCGTACAAACTTAGATAACCCAAATACTGAAGTTTTTTATTATTAGAGAGATGCGTAGGGAATATATTATTATTCTTTGCTTTAGTTTTATATAACTCTATTTAATGACACCCTCGGCTGCTGCGAATAGCAATTTAAAATTTAGCCCTTTACACACTAATTGAAAGTTGTAAAGTTCAAAAATAGGTTAAATTTCATCTGAGTACATTGAACTTTCAGAAAAGTCACAATTGAATCATTAAACTTTAATTTGTTTGAATTGAGTCATTGAACTCTAACTTTGTTTCAAAATCCACCACTTTGTCACATTTCGTTACCTTTTTGTCTCCTAAACTAACATAAATTGCTTAGTGGATAAATCGATCTTCCTTAAACATTACATTGCACTTTGAAACAAAATGGCAAAACATGAGTTATGATTATATCTTTTAGTTAAAAGATTAAAGGATGCATTTTTTTAATTTTTATATTATGAATTAATCTATGTGTACAATGTTTTTGTACAACATTGTCAACAATGTTGTTTGTGGCAAAAAATTGTTAGCTGAAAAGATAAAATTATTTTTTTAATTGTTCAATAACAACATATCAAGTGGCGTGTTGTTGTCAAAATAATTGTGCATCAAGCATTGTTCTTATATTATAGTGTTGTGTTGATGCGATACAACAATTATGTGAAAGATCTGCTAAATAACTATCAATTAAACAATTTTAACAATTTGAGAGACTAAAATATGACGAGTGATGCAATTTGAAGCTAAATTAAAGTTTAGTTACACAATTGAAATAAAATTGAAGTTCACTTGTCCAATTGAGAAAAATTAAAATTTGATGTCAATATAGATTTTTTTTTAAATTCAGTGACCTCTGATGAAATTTGCCCAATTTTTATTCCTTGCATTGGAATATCCAGAACGGAGGCCGGTTCCGCCTGAACTTCTACGTCTTTCTCTGAAGTCAAACTGTTCTAGATTTCAATATCCAATCTGTAAAAACAGATACATAAATCAAAATTTCCTGCAAACAACGGGAATTTCCATTAATAAAGATTCACAATAATTCTCTTAGTCGCTTGAATCAGTACCTCCAATAATCAAACAATGAAGCACGTGTTTTTGATTTTGGGTCTCTTAGTGATCTTCCATGGCGCTGCTGCTTTTGGTCATTTGAATAGTGTAGTTGGTAGTTCAGCTGGTGCTATTGGAGAACAACCTTTATCAAAGATTGCAATCCATAAAACTAAACTTGCTCTTCGGGATTCTGCTTCCATTAAAGCCACCCCTCTTCTTCTTGGCATAAAAGTAAGTAAATTTCTGCTATTCACATGGGTTTCATCTCACATAATCTCTCTGTTCTTTTGCGTTTGCCAATTAAGTTGTGGTTTTTGTTTTTCTCATTTTGTGTGTTGGCTCTTTGCTTTATTAAAAGTTTCAGAATTGTAAACTAGTATCTGTTGGACTGTGTGGCCATTAATCTTGCTGTATTGACATAATATTCCTACACATGTAAAGGATCTTTTAGAGGCGGTTTTTGGGTGCAAGTGAGCTGTGAAGAAAATTTGCTACTATAATTCTACTTGTAATTTATTTAGTTTCTTGTTTCATTTGAAAGTAGGGATTAGGATTTAATCCATAATAGGATCATGATTTCCTTCCTAAGTGCATTACTAATTGTGTTTAGTTAAAATTCGAAAATCAACTATGCAATTTTTCTGTTAAAAGGGAACTAAAAGTTCGCACTTAGTTTTTGACTTTAAGTGGCCCCATTCCTGTAAAAGCGATTTGTTAGTGAGTTAATAGAAAAGCTATTTCTTTCTTAATGAATGTGCATAAAAATAGAGGCCAATCCTTACTTCTTCAGGTCTATGGGGGGAATGATGTTTTTGTTTATGATTTGGTAACAGGGCGAGGACACTGTATGGGTCGATGTGGATTTTGAAAATGACAAACCCGGTGATGATGATTGGATTGGAGTTTTTTCTCCAGCAAAATTCAAGTAAGCTCCAGTTGTAGATTGATTTTAGCATTCTGGCTATTTCTAGTTGGTCTGTGTTATCCAAGCTTATGCATTGAAATTTTGAAACTCTATGCATTTTTCTTGTATCAATGATGAACAAATGTCGGGAATTGTCAGCGCATCAAATTGTTACGATGAAAATAACAGAAAAGATCAAGCTCCATATATATGCTCATCCCCTATAAAGGTGTGTGCACAACTAGTTTTAATATTAAGAATCAGAAAATGTGAGATTTTTTTGCCTTTACTAACGGATGTCAAATTGCATGTATATAATCATTGCAGTACAAATTTGCAAATTTCTCCGAGTCCCATTATATGAAGACTGGGAAAGCTTCTTTAAAGTTCCAGTTAATCAATCAGCGTGAAGATTTCTCCTTTGCATTGTTTGCAGGTGGATTGTCAAATGTAAGTGAAGTCACTTTTTTCTGTTAAATCTTGTGATTTTTTCACTTTCTGAATATAACTTGCCACTGTATCCTTCTGGTAGTTTACATCTATTTCTAGATCTTTGTAAATTTGCGTTTGGAAATAATTAGTTTGGAACTGATGTAAACTTAGGAAAATTACATATCAAATTGGTTTCTATATATATTGTTTGAATATCTGTGAAAATTTCTGTTATTCTAAAAATGCATCAGTAACTTTTCTTTAAAATGATAATCATAGTTCAAATTCATTGAAATCTTTAAATCTTCAGATAACTTACCCATATTTAAAATTCACAATAATATAAAAACAGTATTGAAATGCTGGTTGCTTGGGCTATCATTTATCTCGCTCTCGGTGGACTAAAATTATCTTACGTTCTTTTTGTATTCCATGCTGGTACATCTTCTTATCATTATTTCAATGTTGTTTGTTTGTAAGTATTTTGATGGCACTCTCACATGAACTAAATCCATAGCATTCCATTGCAGCCTAAACTTGTAGCAGTATCAAATTCCATAGCTTTTGCAAATCCTAAAGCACCACTTTATCCTCGCCTTGCTCAAGGGAAATCTTGGGATGAAGTAAGTTATCTTGATGTTTGCCAATATTTATTTTTTAATGGTTTATGTCATCATGTAGCTAAAATTGAACTTGGACATGAATCTTTGTCCGTTACCTTATGGAAGTTACATTTGCCTCTACCTTAAAAAATTTGGATCGGTCAACTAGATACTTTTAGCCCTCATTTTATTGCATTGTTCTCTTTCGTTCACTGAGTTTAGTAAGCAGTATTAAATCATACTGGACAGTATGACCAACACAATTTCAAATTCTTTTTCTTATTTAATATTGTTCAGTATTGTCTAATCTACCTTACCAAACTTGCCATTAATGTCTTAATAGAATTTACTCTCTTGCAAAGTGAACTATTAGATTTCTACTTCTTCATCTGAATTGCACTTTGCAGTTTACAGTAACATGGACAAGTGGCTATAATATAGATGAAGCCATTCCTTTTGTGGAATGGGGTTGGAAGGGTCAAAAACAAAAGCGCTCACCAGCTGGAACATTAACATTTGAGCGTAAAAGCATGTGCGGTATGATTTACTTTTTATGACCACATTCTTGCTAAGATATGCTGATGTGCTATATAGTCAAGTTTTCTGTCTCCAATGATTGTTGGGTGTTTTGGAAGAATAAGCATTCTAGATTATATATGCAAGTTTTCTTTCTTGAAGATGACCTTGTAATTAGCTAAAGGTAGATGGAGCGAGTTAGCTCATGAGGCATAATTTAACTACCCCAAAGTTTGGACTTTTGAAGGTATTTTTGGTTGCTTGACTGATGATACTTGTGAATAATTTTCTTCTTTGGATTTTGTTACGTCTGGAAGTTTTGCTTTTTGGACAGGAAAACCCCTCTTTCGTGTAGCTAAAAATCTTGTTTTTAGTATATTTTGATTAAAGTCAATGAACTGTGTAATTGAAAAGTTTATGAAATGTGTGTTGAAAATTAATTGTTGACTAAAACTAACAATCTTAACTCCAAAACCTTTTCTGAATAGTACAAGCGTTTGGGTTGCAATGTAAAATATACTCAAAATTGGAATGAATAGGCAATTTAATTTCATACTGGAGCTTTATGTCCAATGTTTTATTAAGATTTAATAAATTAAAGAATCAAGGTCTTTTTTTTTCTTACCTATGTTTTCTCTCTCAATCCACTGATGTCTTGTCCCTTGGTTTCAATTTAAAGAGCAAATGTTAATCAAATCTATCAGGTGGTCTCTTTTTTAGGATACCTATGGATTTTAGTAAACATAAAACAATGTGATGACTGAAATGCATCTGATAAGAATACTCAAATTGGTCTGTAGGTTCACCGGCACGTACAGTTGGCTGGCGTGACCCTGGTTTCATACATACTAGTTTCTTAAAGGATTTGTGGCCAAATACTGTGTAAGTTTCCATAGCATCTGCGTTTTATAAGAAAAAAATTCTAGCAGGCATCAATAATATAGTTATTCTCTACTGTTGCTGCAATTCCAGATATACGTACAAATTGGGTCACCTATTAAGAAATGGATCCTACATTTGGAGCAAGATGTATTCGTTCAGATCGTCCCCATATCCAGGACAAGACTCACTGCAACGAGTCATAATATTTGGTGACATGGGGAAGGTAATATTGATCATTAATTTTGTAATAAGTATATCTTTTCTTTTCTCTGTCCCTACTAGAAATACTGAAAGAAGATAGAAAGACTTTACCCCATTCAAATAATCTGAAAAGATTCGAGTCAAATGAAGAGATTATGGAGCTTCTTGTGAGAAATAATGTTTAACTAACTAAGGGCATCTTCAGCTGTTGTGATGATTATGAACTAACATAGTGTGTCTTTGCCATCTAGTGATGAGGCGTGTTGAAAGTCCTTGCCAAATTATTTTCCTGTGCTCAAACCGTTAACGTAGTTCACTTATTTTTATGTATATAAGTTATTTGACTGTGTTTAATGCATTTAACATGAGATACTATGACTTTCAGGCAGAACGTGACGGTTCAAATGAATATAGCAATTATCAGCCCGGCTCTCTGAATACCACCGATCAACTCATCTGGGATGTAAAGAACATTGACATAGTTTTCCATATAGGAGACATCACATATTCAAATGGCTATATCTCACAATGGGACCAATTCACGGCACAGGTGGAACCCATAGCATCAACTGTGCCTTATATGATTGCAAGGTGTGTTCATATATCATGTGATAATGCATTTCGTATTTTTTGATATAACTTTTTATCATGGCCAAATTTTTACAATGTTACATATCAACTTGTTCCACAGTGGCAATCATGAGCGTGATTGGCCTGGGACAGGATCCTTTTATGACACTCCAGACTCTGGTGGTGAATGTGGTGTGCTAGCAGAGACTATGTTCTACGTTCCTGCAGAGAATAGAGCCAAGTTTTGGTAACTGATTTATTCTTTTCTAAAGTAAAAAGTTGGAAAGCTGATTTTTATCTTCTGAGCCCTGTTTTATCTTGATCATAATAATTTGACTCTTCTTGTATGTAAAGATATGCTAGCCATAGGAGCTACATCTACTTATTGTTGCAGTTTCAGATTTATAATACTTCGCCTCAGTATTTGAGCTACATCTACTTTTTGCATAGATTTTTCACTATAACAAAGGAGGAGATAATAAGATTTGTCATACACCTCTTAGTTTTGTCCACCCAAAAATGTTCTCCCCCCATCTTCTTCTTAAAATACTTTTTGATATGAATATTAGGGTGACCTAATCAGACCACGCAATATACTGTTGGATAAAGAGTTAACCACGATGTCTTTGCTCGGAAAACCCTTAGCAGGGAAAATTTACAATGTAGTTAGGCTCCACAGTATATCAAGAAAAGTAGCTTGCTAAATGGATTTAACTATTTTCCTCTAAGGCTATGGAGTTCCTTTTTTAGTAGTAAAACTTACATAATTTGTTATTGGGACTGTGTCTTCTATGTAAATTGAAAAATGACATATATACTCGTTCACAGGTACTCAACAGATTATGGTATGTTTCACTTCTGCATAGCAGATACTGAGCATGATTGGAGAGAGGGATCCGAGCAGTACAAGTTTATTGAAGATTGCCTTGCATCAGCGGATAGGCGAAAACAGCCTTGGTTAATCTTTGCTGCTCATAGGGTCCTTGGATATTCTTCTGACAAATGGTATGGATTAGAAGGTTCATTTGAAGAGCCAATGGGAAGGGAAAGCTTGCAAAAGCTCTGGAAAAAGTACAAGGTTGACATTGCGTTCTTTGGCCATGTCCACAATTATGAAAGAACTTGCCCAATTTACCAGGTAAACCTCTGTGGCATGTTTGAAATGCTACACTTGACTGCACTACGCTGGATAGGATTAATGAAGAAAAATAATTTGAAATGTTGCTGTTCTACATGCTCTAGACTATTTTTTCCTTGTTAATTTTGCATAAAATATCTTTAAGTGACTAGATTAACTTTTATGGACCGATTTCTTGCACTTTTCCCATTGTTGAAGCTTTTCTAATTCTTTTCTGCAGAACCAATGCGTGAATTCGGAAAGATCACACTACTCTGGCATTGTGAATGGGACAATACATGTGGTTGTTGGTGGAGGAGGGAGCCATTTGTCGGAGTTCAGTTCGGTTACCCCTAGTTGGAGTCTGTACCGGGATTATGATTTTGGTTTTGTCAAATTGACAGCGTTTAACCTCTCGTCTCTTCTTTTCGAATACAAGAAAAGCAGTGATGGAAAGGTGTATGATTCTTTCACTATCTCAAGAGACTACAAAGATGTTTTAGCTTGTGTGCATGACGGCTGTGAAGCAATCACTTTAGCAACTTGAACAACACGTATTTACTGGAAGGAACCCATTGATATTGTTCGATAGGACAAATTCTTGTTTTTTCGTGAAATAAGGTATTGTAGTGATTAAGTTACAGATTGTGGGAAAAAAAAGACAATAGACAATAATGTTAAGTTGCCAAATGTTTAATTGTGGGTTAATTTCACATTTGGTCACTGAAGTTTGGGTAAAATTGCAAATTGTTCCTTGAAAGTTTATATTGTCCACTAAATATGGTCTCTGAAATTAGAGTAATGTATCACCAATGGTGATCAACTCCACTCTAGGTGGTAGTGGACTTCATGTTCCACAACGAGTGATTAATGGTTTTTCGAAAGTTCTAAAAGGTGCAGGATTCGGCAAGACGGCAACTTCAAGCCTCAAATCTTACGGGTTTGTCTAGGACTCTAAACAAAACAAAGTCGCAATATGATGTTTCTCTATATTTATTATTACTTTAATTATCCTTAGACCATTAGTAATGATTCTTTTTGTTAAATTAGTTTATTTGACCTCAAAAAGAAAAAAAAAATTTGGACAGAATTTTTGTAAAAAATAAAAAAAGAAAAAGAAAAAGGTGCTTGCTTTGTGGCGTTTAGGCTTGCGTTACACGGTTAAAAATAGAGTTGAATATATGTTTCACAATTTATAAATTCGAAAGATGCTTTGCGAAGTTCACTATGAATACTTCAAATAGGTACCAAGATCTTACACCGAGAAGTGAAGAATGTATTTTAAAATAATCAAAAATGATGATGCTATGATGGAAATTAGAAGATAATAAGTTAGATTATTAAATTCATTTCTAACCGTCTTCTTTGGCTCTTTTTTAAGAATCTCCTATAATGGTCATCCACGCATGAAAGATATCTATCAGATCGTGACTTCATGTACCAAACATTTTAATATCGCTGCATCCGATATTTTTTATCCAACAACGTGATGTAATCATTGTTTAATGTTTTTCTCAATCTACAATGAGTTGCGAAGTTCGAATAAAAACTTCGAAATGGTACCAAGTTTCTATTCTGATGAAGCTTGATATAACTCGAAAGAGGTGACACCAAGTTAGAATAAAAGAAAAAAAAAATTGAGTTAATCAACTTCTAGTAGTCATCTTTGGCTCATTATTTTGAACTCATTGGAGCAAAGTAAAAAAATGTAATCACACGTTTAACTCAAAGTAAAAAATAGGGTAAAAAAAAAAATGTAACATATTTTAACAATAGGGTAAAAAAAATTAATTAAGTAAATTATTTTTAAATTTGATCAATAAAGAATTAGTGACATTACCATCTTCCACATGAAAATGCCAAAATGAAGATGTGATCTTTCCTTTGACTTCAATCATAGAGTTTAGTGGAGATGCGTAGGGAATATATTATTATTCCCTTAATTTTATATTTCTATTTAATCACACGTTTAACTCAATTATTGAAAGTTATAGTGCAAAAATTATTTATGGGGGTAGATTTATCTGAAAAGGATAAGCTAAAAAAATCAGGCAACCCTTTTGTTTTGACTAACAATGCAATATAAATACAAGGGTAAATTATTTTTATCAGGTAAATTTATCCAAGGTCGCCCAACTTTCAGCATACTCACAAGTAAATCACTAAAATTATAATTTGTCTTGATTGGATTTTAAAATTTCAATTTGTTTCAAAATTCACCACTTTGTCACATTCCCTTGCACCAAATTAACAGAAATTGCTTAGCGACAGTCATATCATAACCGATCTTCCACCGTAAATGCATTAAATGAAGGTTACAACGATTCTTTAGATTTAAAGTTCAATAGGTTGCTTTTAATCTTTAACAATTTTATGATGTAGCACAGTGGTAAGTCAGAATGCCACGTAGCTATTACATGAAAGATGTCTCATACAATATAAAGTAATTAAGTAATTTTTATCAACTTGAAAGACGATGTTGACTGTAAAATACTAATTTCTCTCACCTGACTAGGACTTTCCCTCCTAACTCTCTGATCTAATATTCAAATATGAGCAATTAGAGAAATGACTGTTCGGGATGAAGTTACTAAATTTTGCATATCTCATTTGTCTCCTAGCCACCCTTATTTATAGACTTGTAATGAGAGTTTGAAGGTTACTAACGACACATGGTAGTTAATCATCAGTAGGACTAACGGTAGTTATTTCTCTACGTTTTATTCTAATTTAGACCTTATATATTTGAAAGTATTTTGGCTCGCTTTTCATATTCGAGGTCACGTATAAGACTTCACGCTATTAATGTTCACCAACTTACTTCTAAGTTCGCTCTGGATTCCTTGTCAACATTTATTGACAACTCAGAATATCACTTAAACTCGAAGGCTCACTTACACTCGTGTACGATTCCTTGTCCATATTTGTTGACGATAGACAACATGTGACAGATTGGTGAATTTTTAAACTTAATTGATGCTTATTAGCACAAATGAGACAAATTAAGTTTAACAACTATATATATATATATATATATATGCACAAATGAGACAAATTAAGTTTAACAACTATATATATATATATATATATGAAAGTTTAGTAATGGCAAATGAAATTTACCCGATTCTTATTAGGTTTTTGCTATGTGTATGCCAGGGTGTATGGTCTTCTCACAATAGGAGGGTTCGCAATTTTTTATTGGGCGTGGCCCCCTATTGTGGGGACCTCCGGCGTACAAATGGCAAAACCTTCTTGATTCTTTGCATTGGACCAACCAGACCATAGGCCGCCTGCATTTTACCCCTAAAAGTAGCTCTAGGTAAATATTTTTCTTCATTTCTTCACCTTTCTGTGAATTCACAGTTACTCATATTTAAATAATCGATTGACTAATCGAGATTGAGCTAATTTCTTGATTTCAATATGCAATCATAAGCTATAAACAAATATATAAAACAATTCGTCCAGCTAAGAAAGGGAAATCTCCACTAATAAATAGAGGAAAATCCTCTCTTGAATCATTACGTCCAAAGTAAATACAATGAAAAACCTCTTAATGGTGGTGGTGTTGATTTTTGGTCTCTTAGTGAACTTCCACTGCACTGACGCTTTTGGTCATTTGAGAAGTGTAGTTGGTAGTTCAGCTGGTGCTATAGGAGAACAGCCTTTATCAAAGATTGCAATCCATAAAACCACACTTGCTCTTAGTGATTTTGCCTCCATTCAAGCCAGACCTCTTCTTCTCGGACTCAAAGTAAGCAAATTTTGTTATTAATCGATAATAGTATCATGACTTACTGCACAAGTGCATTGCTTCTTGAATTCAGTTATAATTTGAAAATCTATTTGCAATTTTTGTTTACGGATAACTATAAGTTCACACTGAGTTTTTGAATTTGCATTATAGTTAGAGGCCAATGTTTTTGTTTGACATGGTAACAGGGCGAAGACACTGCATGGGTCGTTGTGGATTTTGTAAATGAAGAACCTTCTAATGATGACTGGATTGGAGTTTTTTCTCCAGCAAAATTCAAGTAATCTCCTGTTACTCTTTTATTATAGCCTTCTGGCTATTTCTAGTTTGTCCGTGTTATAATACTTACCCTTTGACCTCGGTTTTTCGCGTATTCTGTCCCTGCAATCGGTTAAGAACCATGATCGTGCATATATTAGTTGTGAAATTTGAATTCTTCGCATTGTTTTACATGGTTGATTAAAAACTGTTGGGAAAATTGACAGTGCATCGAATTGTATAGTGGAAAATAACAGTGAAGTACAAGCTCCATATACATGCTCTGCCCCAATAAAGGTGTGTACAAAACAAGCCATAATACTAAAGATTCAGAAAATGTATCATGTTTTTTGCTTTCTCTAACTGATGTCTTGCAACGGGATTCTTACAGTACAAGTATGCAAATCACTCGAATCCTGATTACACGTCAACTAAGAAAGCTTCAGTAAGGTTCCAGTTGATCAATCAGCGAGAAGATTTCTCCTTTGCGTTGTTTGCAGGTGGATTGTCAAATGTATGTAGTCATTTTTTCTGTTATTCTTGAGTTCTCTTCACTTTTTGTTAGGATGTCTTTGATGATATAAAAGATGCATCACAGTAACTGGAGATAGAAATGATCATTGCAGTTAAAATTCATTTTACCATTAACTCCTTCGTCCAACTTAGCCAGATTTAACTTGGACACAAAAAACTAAAGATAGCTTATGTTCTCTTCCTATTCATGTGGTATATTTGCTTATGTTTGTTTTTATCCTGTTTCCTAATTCCATTGCAGCCAAAACTCAAAGCAATATCAAATTCCATAGCTTTTGCAAATCCTAAAGCGCCAGTTTATCCTCGTCTTGCTCATGGGAAATCTTGGGATGAAGTAAGTTATCCAGATTGATGTTAGTCAATAATTATGTTTTAATGTGTTATTTCATCCTGTATAGCTCAATCTTGACTTGAACATGAATCTTTGTTTGTTACCTTAGATTTGCTGCTGTCTTAAAAGCTTTTGTTGGTCGATTACAAATTTTTTAATCCTAATTTGATGTAATTGCATATTTTGTCACACTTATAACATGTTTGCCTTGGAGAATTGGATAGTATTGTTGAGAAAAAAAAAAGGAAGCTAAAGTTTTGTTTGTTCTTCTGCCAAGCAAAATTTAATAGGGAAATTGCAGTCGAGGTACCAAACCTTTCGTTTGTTAGTAGACTTTGCCCAAACCTTTAGTTTGTGCCACCGGAGATACCAAATCTTCAAAAAATTTGCACTCGGAGTCCAAATTGACAGAAACCGATAGTTTGACTGTTATTGACCAAAAATTAAATATCTGACCAATTGTTGACTATTTTTAACGGGGTAAATGTGTAACTTTACATTTTCATATAAAAAATTTAAATAAAAAGAATAAAAAAATAAAAAATAGTCATCTTCTCCACCCACCCAAAACTAAAAGTCATCTTCTCTACCCACCAAAAACCAGGTATTTCCCAATAAAATCAAAGTTGGAATCTCACTGACTTCTTCTCCCTCGCCCGGTAGCTTGATTGAAATCTCAAAAACTAATTTCAAACCTTGCAACTCATTTTCCCCACTCTCCAAAAATCAGTAAAATCTGGAAGAAAGAAAATAAAAACCCTTCTTTGCCCATTGATAAGAACTCATTGAATACCAGTGCATTTGTATGACTACTTTTTGGGAGAAAGAAGATAAAAACCTATCAAA